TATAATCATTTTTCTGAATTCCTTCTCAGGCATTTCCAAAGCCTGCCCATCTTCCAGTATGGAGTGTAGGTCTACTTCCAGCTCATTTGCCTCAACACTTTATCTTGTTTCTGGACATGTGCAGATATGGTCATCTGCTTCTGTCTTTTGGGCATATTCAGGGGTTATCTGTGGCCTCTGAGGGTGGGGCTAGGGTGTCCACTAGCTCAGGCACCCCTATAGTCACCAGAATGGAGGTGCACAGACAGTAAGGGACCAATGAACAGCTACCAAAAGAAAAGACTGTCCACACCTTTATCTCTGCGGTTCTGCCAAGCGTCTGTTGCCGCTCCGATCCCTCCCCCGCTTGGTCTTACCCAAGATGGTGGCTCTTGGAGCAGCTGAGCATCCCGAACTAGAAAGCAATGGATTTCTTTCTTCTGCCACAAATTCCCCCAGCTGTAAGCCTTCCAACCTTCTAAATATTCCTTTACATGTGATTCAGAATTCTGGGACCATCCCAAGCCTGCTTGGTTTGGTATTCTGTGTTGTTGTTGGTGGAGCTCTTCACTACACGTCCACCCGATCCGCCATCTTGTTTGTTCTCCCCTGCTGTTTATAATTGAGATGATAAAGATATGTGACAAAGAGAAATAATACATCTGGGAAACAGTTTATAATGTAAAAAACAACATATAAGTGTGTATTGTTATTGAAGTCCTCCAGGAAATAGCACGATAAAATTAATATAAAGACAATGATACTTGATAATGTATACTATTAGATATATTATTTGTGAATCTGGACTCTGTACATAACTTGAAAATATTATTTATGCCTTATTTATTTCATTTTGCAGAGTGTATGTAAAGAAGTAGAAAGCAGTGAGAGAGCAGTAGAGAAACTTATAAAAGATGTAAACAGATTAAAACAAGAAATCAAAAAAAGAAAACAAGCACAGATTCAAGTAGCAGGTACTAAATAAAACACGCCAGTATTTCCTATGCTTTCAAACTATTCTGATTTGAATTCATGTATGAGCCCACAATAACTACAATGAATATGTCCACTTTAATGATAAAAGGAGTCATTTTTTAGTATTTTTAAACTACTTTGAATAACATGGCATTACAAAAGTTATTCTCTATCATTGATATTAAAAAACACAACTTCATTTTTGTTTAGAATATTGTGATTTAACAAAATTTGAGTGAAACCAAAAATGAGTATAGTACAAAAACCTACTAATAAAAAAAATATACATTAGAATTTGAGATTCACATTTTTTATTGTAAATAATTTGATACAATGGTTTAGGTTAAAATCTTTTTAAAGTTTACTAGCAACTAATTATAAAAGCTTGTAGAGCAAATAATTGTATTTTGAACTATTATTTTATTTTGTTTAGGAGAGAGGAATAACCCAGAAGAACCCCAGGAAAACACTTTTCTTTGTCAGGCTTTAAGGACATTATTTCCAGATTCTGAACTTCTTCATTCATGTGTTATCTCTCTGAAAAACAGACACGTTTCTAAAACTTGCTGTAATACCAACCACCATCTTGAAATGGTTGACAAACTGACCTTAATGGTAGAATACACGGATGATGTTCACGAAGCCAATCAAACTTGCACACAGCATATAACGAAGCGTAAAGCATTAGATGTGGCTGATGGATGGAAATTCAAGAAATCACGGCTGCTAGAGTTAGAAAAACAACAATCTAAAACAGATACAGATAGTAGTAACCAAGAAAAAGCATCTACAATGAGCAGTCCAGAAACAGATGAAGACCTTGAGAAAATGAGAGGCTCTGGTGAATATCCACAGTCTCCTACATTTTGATTATTTTAGGTCCAAAAAAAAAGATTTTTGATTGACTGAAGGGTAAAGTCAAACATTTATAATGTTTTTATTTTTATTCAGTTGCACTATTTGTAGGTATGCAATGATAAATTCTAACATGTTTATTTTATAAAATAGTTTTAAAAGTATCAGATACTTTTATTTTAAAATCAGACTTTTTTCCCTAAAATGTTGAGGGAACAGCTGAAAAGGTTTATTCTTCTAAGTTTGTACCACGTTTTTAAGGATTTTTAGAAAGAAACTAACATTTTCATAATCCTGAAGGAAATAAAATTTATTTTTATCTAAGTCATTATACTTCCTATTCTTTAAGAAATGATGGCTAGGGTTGGCAGTTGAAACATTAGATATCATGCAATATTTGCAACATGTACTAAAAAATTGTTTTGCTTTTTATGTATTATCAAGGAAATACTGAGAAAGCTATTTTTAAATGCATTGAATAATGATCATTAATGGTTTGTGTGTAATTCATATTTAACTGAACATCCTGTATTTATATTTGCTAAATTTAGCAACTCTTAATTATGACGCAATTCTGATATTCAACACAAAAGTAGTTTCTCCCCAACTGAAAGTCCTGTCTGTACAGAATTGGAGTATGGTCATTAAGTGCTGTTGAGTTGGTTGCAATTCATAATGAACCAGGGTTTAAAATTTTTCCTGGGAGCAGAAAGCCTCATCTTTTCCTTGTGGAGCAGACGGCAGGCTCAAACTATAGACCTTGTGGTTTGTAGTATAGTGCTTATATGCTAGCCACTGTTCTCCCCTTGAGGGTAGTACAAGCCTACTAATCCAAAAGTTTAAGATCAGCAATTAGCTAGTTAAAGCAAGGAATCAAGGATGTTGTAATGCACACACACACACATATGAATGTGTGCACAGACAGGTATAACTGAGACATTGTAGGTTTGGCCCAGACCACTGCAATAAATCCATGATTTTTTTGTTTTCTAGTGAAAATAGTATTTTATATGCACTGTAGGAGAAGCACTGGACTGCTATTCCCTAGGTCAGTGGTTCAAACCCACCACCTGCTCTTCGGAAATCCTATACAGGTTTCCTATGAGTTCAAACAGACTTGATGGCACTTAACAATGTTGTTGTTCTTTTTAAGTTTTTATTATGAATTGAGTGATAGTTATACATTCATCCTATATTTTGTTTCATTGCAATGATTACAATCCCCTCCATGCATCATCATTCAATAGCATCTGCTTCCATTTTTTTTTTTTTTTTTTTTTGATGTACATCGAAGCACTCAGGAATATATAACCATTCAAACAACCAAAGGGTACACCCCAGAAACCTGCCCACCGTCCATCAGCACACAGCCCCTCTCCCTCCATGAGTCCAGAGTCCCCAGCTGCTCCATCTCTCCACGTCATCATGTCTGCCTCCATCTCTGGTGTCACTGCTCCTCTGGGTAGGGTCCCGCACTCTTCTCCCTTGATGTGTCAACCACTTCCCTCCTTTTGTTACAAATGTCTACCATTACGTTTGCAGCACTCACAATCAGTCCTGATAGCATTTATTTACTATTGTACCACAAGAGTCTTATTCCCATCTCCTTTTATCAGCCCCATCCAGACAGATTGGAAACCACTCAGCGGAGATTCTACCTTCCCCCGCACCCTCTGAAACTAGGCTCCCTCTTGAAAGCTTGCAAGCCAGTCACTTCTTGTCTTTGTAGTCCCTCCATTGTGGGTAGCCAATGTCTCTTAAGTTGCCCATCTCTGTCAACCCTGTGTACTGAGCGGGTGGGAATGCTCTCGCTGTAAAGATTTGTTCCCTCTTTTGAGCTGCTACAACCATAAATGTAGGTCAAGTTCATCAAATTGTAGCGGATTACTCTTTTATTTTCCCTTCCTCTAGTCGAGTTCTGATCATCCAGCCATTGAAGCCAGGTCAAGTGGGTACTATCTACGAGTATGGGTGTCAACAACATAGTCTTTTAAGAGAGCACTGGTGGCATGATGTTAGGCTGCCAACTGAAAGGTCAGGTTCAAACCTACCAGCCACTCCTATAAACATTTAGTCTCAGAAACCCTAAGGGTCACTATGAGTTGGAATGACCTCTGTGGCAATAAGTTTAGTTTTGGTTTACAGTCTATTCAAAGTAGTATGCAATAATAGCATTATGAAGAAGTTTGACAAAGATTGCCACAAACCTTCAGTTTATAAAAAAATTTTAAAATTCAGTATCTGAAACTCACTAGTGAAATAAATGCTAAACATATACTCTGACCTTTGCTTTGCTGCCTATTATTTCCTAAGGGATGGAACAAATTCACTCTTAACACAATTATCTTTTACCTTTGCATTTGGGGGTGGGGTATATGATGTGGTGCTGTGGGTTTATGTTCAAACTCACCAGCTCTCCTTAGAAACCCTATACGGGGTCACTGAGTCAGAACTAACCCAATAGCACTTTAACAAGTTATGGAATCATCCAGAACAATTTCAACTGCATGGCCAGTTACATGGGACAACTATATCAAATAAGTATTCCACTTTCCTGTATCACTGTCTCATTTAGAAGACAGATCTGGGCCAAAAAATTACAACGCAACCAATAACTCCCATATTTACTATCAACATCACTGCCAGTATCAGTGGTAATTACTGTATGAGCTATTTGGAGACTAGATATGTGAAATGTAATTAACATTTTAGAAAATATGTGCTCTATTTTTCTTAATGAACATTAACTGAAGGGAGGCTTCACTTACAATCTCATTCTAAAAAACATTATTTGTTCTTCTAAGATTTCAAAAGTTGCTCAACCAGAAATTTTTACTAATATATAGTAAGATTTAACGAATCGGGCTGCGAACCGCAAGGTCAGCAGTTCGAAACTACCAGCTGCTCTGCGGGAGAAAGATGAGGCTTTCTGCTCCGGTAAGGATTTACAGCCTCGGAAACCCTGTTCAAGGTTGCTATGGGTCGGAACTGACTCAACGGCACTTAACAACTACAAGATTTACCTTACCTTGTAATTTTCTACCCAAAGGTTATTATTTTTTTTTTTAAGCAATATCAGCACCACACAACCATTTATTGTAAAGTAAGTTTATTATTATTAATCTTAAGAAAATTTACTCCCGATATTTGATGTTACAAATTTTGGGGTCTTTGAGATACGCAGGATCCTTGTATGTGACTGGCATAAACCCTGTAAAGAAATAACCGAAGTTCAATACAAAAGATACTGAGCAAAATTTTGAGTAGCCCAATTCAGTTGTTTAGATATTCTTACCCATCACTTGAGCCCTCTTAATCGCTTTTGTGATTTCTTTCTGTTTCCTTCCACAAAGACCTATTAAAGAAAAAGACAATAAATTCTTATTCTATGAAAATATCAATATTCAAAATTTATACACAACTGTTTAAGTCAAGAGGCAGCAATTGGTAAAGGACCAGATGATAAATATTTTAAGACTTTGCAGCTCACAAGTCTCTATCACAACTATTTAACACTACTATTGTAACTCGGAAGCAGCCAATGTTAAGTGCCATCAAGTCAGTTCTGACTCATAGTAACCCTGTATACAGCTTCTGAGGAACAGCTGGTAGGTTTGAACTGTTGACCTTGTGGTTCAGAGACCAGTGCTTAACCCACTGTACCATACCAAAATTATTTACAAAAATAGATGGCAGGTTCTTTTTGGTCTGGGGTCGTAGTTTTCAGTAGCTGGTTTAAGTAATAGTCTAGGAATGACTATAACCAAAAACACCCACCAGACCCACTGTCATCGAGTCATTTCTGACTCACGTTGACCATATATAGTTTCCAAGACTAACTCTTAAAGGGAGCAGACTGCTTCATCTTTCTCCCAGGAAGTGGCTGGTAGATTTGAACCACCAACCTTGAGGTTAATGTCAGCTGTTGCTGAGCAAAAGTAGTAATCCTATTGGCCTAAAAAAAGATTCCAAATCCAGTCTTTCCATATCTGGTCTAGCAATGAAAATTTGCTAGTTTTCTTAAGAAAAAATGGATTTATATGTTTTATCTAAATTTAAAAGTTGCTGTAATAAAAAGAAAAATACCTGTTATGTGTCTTGAATAAATGCATCCAGTAAATGGAGAAATGAACTGAGACAACAGCTATTGTTATTTTAATTTGGAGGGAAAAAATTTAGATTAGTATGTTTGTAAATTTTCAACAGTCAAACTTTATATGCCATCTTCAAGTTACATAAAATTTTATGAGTAAATTTCAAACATCCCAAACCCACTAACATGAAGTTGACTCCAATTCACAGTGATCCTATAAGACAAAGTAGAACTGCCCCATAGGGTTTCTGAAGCTGTATTATCTTTACGGAAGCAGACTGCCTTATCTTTCTTCCTGGCAGTAGTTGGTGGGTTCAAACTGAAAAGTTTTCGGTTAACAGTTGAACACTTTAACAATATGAATAAGAATATATATTATCCTATTAACAACTCATCATTTAAAACAACAAAATTAACTAATCTCTTTTATCCAGCTAGTCACAAAGTCTATATAAGCAAACAATATAGATTAATCAGCCTATGTTTTCAGTGCTATTAGCTGTTTACTTGACTTTTCACAGATCTTTCTAAAATACTGCTACTTATAGCAAGACACTAAACATAATTTCATATGTCATGATGTTAAGTACTGTTGAAGTCAGTTCCTACTTAGCAACCCTGTATAGGATTTCCAAGGCTGTACATCTCTGTGGGAGCAGAAAGCCAGAGTGGCTGGTGGGCCTGAAATCACTGACCTTGTGGTTCTCAGTCCAGTGTGTATCCTATAGTCACTGCACTCCCTTTCTATTACGAAGCTGAATTACCAAAGTACAGAGTGAGATCTCTTAGAGGCACTTACGTACAAAGGGACCATTTCCTGTAATGTATGTATTATTCGTTTCTTTAGCACTGTTTTTGACACTTTACCTAATCCCCCAATATGTTGCCTTAAAAAAAAAAAACACAAAACAATTTCTTGGTTTTTCCTCCTCAAAGACAGCTATGACTTTACACTGTTATCAGTACACTTAACATCCAGCACTATTCTCTGACCCCAAATCTGACAATTCTAATTTGCTGAGAGTTAGACAGTAGATACAATTACATTTGAAAGTGATATGGGTGGTGAGGTGCAAGAGATCAACTTCATCATTCCAAACTACTTACCCCCATTGATAGAGAACCACTGCCACAGTGAGCAGTTATTAATGACATTGTGTCAGACCCATCAGGCAAGTTGGGGCAGACAAAAAAGGAAATACTGAGCTGAAATAATAGTAAATGAGGACAGAAGCTGTTCTTTAAACACATAGCTACTATATAGATTTATAACTAGACTTGAAATTACAAAGTTGCTAAAATAATAGCCTCTACATAAAACCTGCTGCAAAACTGAGTTATCTTAAAGTGACAATCATAAATGAGCAAAACCCTAAAAGTAGTATAGTGAAGCAAAACAGTATCTCACCTGTACATTCTTATAATCTACACGTTTTCCACACAAGAGGCATTTTTTAAGAGGTTCCTTATAAGGATTTTCCATTGGAATGGGCTAGGATAAAGAAAAGCATCTGATAATGGACGTTAACACATCAACTTAACATTAATAAATACTCAGGTTACATTTAAATTCATTCAAAGGATTAGTTTTACTTTTCTTACTGTATGAAAAAGAATAAATACAAGTTTGGCTTGTGAAAAATCAAGCATTTGGAAAGGTATTCAGCATTTTAAAGATTTTGTTATTAAGTGCCATTGAGTCAGTTCCAACTCAGCATTTCCATATCCAAGAAGTGGATGGTGGATTTAAACCACCAATCTTGTGGCTAGCAGTTCAGTGCAAATACCCAGCATTACACCAGGACTCTTTAAAGATTTTAGTGAACTTGTACATAAGGAAACACTTTCTTCAGTTTGGCTAAGAAGGAATTAACTCATGAAGAAGTCTGGGATAAAATACAATCTTTGGAGGATTGAAAGAACTCATGGGAACAAATTCTAATCTATGATTAGAAAGTGAGTTTCTGCACAAATGCTTTGTCTAGATTGTAGATGACTAAAAATTTTAAGTAGATAAAAACTTATTTTACCCTTGTGGCACTGTAGGATAAGCACTCAACCACAAGGTCTATTTGAACTGCATGATCAGCAGTTCAAACTCATCAGCCACTCCTAGGGTCTCTATGTCAGAACCAACTCGATGGCAGTTAACAACAAACTCTTAAATAATGTAATACCTACTTAATCCATCCATATATTTTCCTAAAGATGTTATCACTATGTTTTATAACCAGATAAATATAGCTATGCTAATGCACCCCCTATTGTACAAAGTTCTCTTCAATTTTCAGGCCCCAGACTGCTTTATACATTTGTCAGCCTTTTTGGCTATTTTGTCTTCACACTGTCTCTACTGGAGTTCTGGTGTGACACTGTGGGCTAATGCGTCAGACTGCAAAGTCATCTGAACTGCAAGGTCGGTGGTTCAAGCTCACCAGCTACTCCTTAGAAACCCTATACAGGGTCGCTATGAGTCGGAATCGACTCAATGGCACTTAACAACAACTGTCCCTACTGGTTCCATCGCAATGCCTTTCTCTAATTGTCAGCACTGCTATCTCTAGTACAGAGGCTCTTAATCTAAATATCCCTTTGAAGTCTCTGACCCCTGAAATTGTATGTAAAATTTCATCTAAATGCAACAGTGCTTTTTTTCTGAAGAGCAGTCCTAGAGCATCCATCAGTCTCAATGGAGTTTAATACCTGAAAAAGTAGGCTTCCTTTATTCTTTTGAACTGTGGCTCCTTGGAAACGCTATGCAGGGTCACTATGGGTTGGAACCTACTCTACAGCACTTAACAACGATGTAAATTAGGTTACCAACATGGATACTTGTTAGGTGCCATTGAGTCGGTACCACTCATAGCAACCCTATATACAACAGAATGAAACACTGCCCGATTGTGGGCCAAACTCCTAACTGTTGCCACGCTTCAGCCCATCGATGCTGCCACCTGGCCAATCCATATCGTTGGGAGTCTTCCTCTTTTTCTCTGACCCTTCACCTTACCAAACATGATATCCTTCTCCAGGGACTGGTCCCTCCTGACAATATGTCCGAAGTATGAGAGACGAAGTTTGGCCATCCTGGCCTCCAGGAGCACTCCGGCTGCACTTACCACAAGGAGGTAAGTTCAAACACACCAGCAGCTTTAAAAGTTCTGTCATTCTTTACAACTCCTTAAACTTTCTTAGTCTCTGTTAGCCCAAACAATTAAGTGCACTGCAACTAGCCAAAACCTTGGTGGTTCACACCCATCCAGGGCATCTTAGAAAACAGATTTGCTAATATGCCTCTGAAAGGTCACAATCTTGAAAACCCTATGGAACAGTTCATCTCTGCAAACATGGGGCTGCCATGTGTCAGAATTGACTCAACAACAACTAACAAATCAATTTACATTCGGCTCACATTACATGGGTAACAACACAGAAAATTACATGGTACAAATAAACCAGCAGCACCACAAAAAAAATACAGCAAAATGACAGCAATCAATTCATATCTATCAATAATTACACTTCATGTAAATGGATTAAATGTACTAACTAAGAGACAGCAACAGGATGAATAAGAAAATAGGACCCTTCAAAATACTAAGAGGCACATCAAAAAGATGGAGATAGCCTAAACAGCTATCAACAAAACAAACTTTGGCCCATACACACAAATTATAGCAATGAATTGGCAAAACACCTCACAACATGGATGAATCATGTGTGCTGAGTGAACTTAATCAATCACAAAAGGACAAATACTGTATGAGACAACTGTTGTAAAAAGGTTTTCTTGATAAATAAGCATTCATTCTATGATGGTCACCAGGGCCAAAGGGAGAGGGGAAATTATTCATGGGTAGAGGTAGACACATGTTAACATAGGTGACAAGGTATGCAATATAAAACAAGAGGGAAGTTGGCAGAGGAAGGGTAAAAGCAGTAGACAAAAGGATCCAGGAGTTACAGTGAATACTGTTACCTGGAGGGGACTGCAATCACTGTAGTGATACAAAGTAAATTATTTGTTGAATATAAAAGTGATTATCTGCTCTGCAAACCTCACCCAATTCACAACAGAAATTAAAAATTTTTTTTTTTTGCAAAGGCCTTATGAATAGGAAGAATAGAATCTCTTACCAGGTCTTCTTTGCTGGTTACCTGTTTACATTGTGAACAAGTTCTCCTGCACAGCACTACAAATAAACAGAAACAGTAGCAAACCAATTATTGTTAGATGAGAATCTACAGAAACTTTTGATTTTGTGGAGGCAAGATGAATCAAACAATATAAAAGAAAGGTTTTGTCTTCACACAAAAATGATTGGATTAGGAACTCTTTGATTTTGCTTGGGGGCAAAGTAGGACTTTAATGGGTGTGCTTTCCCAGTCTTTGATGGGAAAGGCATGTATTTCCCTACCATACCACCACCTTCCACCTGCTCTCTTCCTGAAATTTGTTTTCCCTTCACTCCACCTAGAGGCAGATTTTCATACAAATATTTTCTGTAAAAGTTAACAGGAAAGCATTACCGTTCAAGAGAGGAAAGGGATATAACAGACCCTCTTCAGAGAATAGAGAAATATGCAGTCACACAGAGAAGATAAAAACTGCAGAAATACCTTGCCCTTGGGCCCTAGCGGTGGGAGAAAGATGAGGCTTTCTGCTCCAGTAAAGAGTTACGGGCTCAGTTAAGTTCAGTGGAGTCGTTCCCACTCAGAGACCCTTCATAGGATTTCCATGGAGCGACTGGTGAACTTGAATCGTAAACCTGGAAATTAGCAGTCCAGTGCTTATCCTACAGCGCCGCACCAGAGCCCCCAGAAAACCTATATACAGGGTCGCTATCAGTTGGAATCAACTCGATAGAAGTGGATTTTAGTGGGTTTCTACTGTCTACTCGCTAGTTAGAAATTTGTTGTTGTTGTTGTTGTTAAGTGCCATCGAGTCGGGTCCGACCCATAGCGACCCTGTTAGAAATTTACCCTCCCTGAAATAATGAGTCCTGGTGGCGCCTTGGAGTAAGCGTTACGCTTCCAACCACAAGGAGGTAAGTTCAAAAACACGAGCAGTTTTTGCGCAAAGATGACGCAGTCTACTCCCGTAAAGATAGATTTACAGTCTCGGAAACCCTAAAAGGCAGATCAATTCTGCCTTTAAAGGGTCGCTATGAGACGGGATTCACTCAAGGACAGTGGGTTTGGTCACGGTTTTGGTAAACAATGAAGCATAAAATATGGAGATCACTTTACCGGAGTGCATCCTGGATTCTGTGAGACCAACCGCAACAGCTACTAAATGCGTCAATCCTTTTCTCCCTAGAGCACTACCACCTGTAACTACAGCTGCCATGGTTGCTTGTTCCTCCTCTTCCTTTCCTCCTCCCAAATCTTCTCGACTGGTCCCTTCCGATACTCCTCCCTTATTGTCTGGAGCACCCTTTAAAGGTTCCGCTGGCGAACGCCGGAGTCGGCAAAGAGTAGGCGGGGTTTTCAACGCACCTGCGTAGTACCTTCCCTTTCTCATTCTGAAAGGTCCCCAAATCAGAGAACACTTATGATTGGATGGGCTCCTACGATTACGCGCGCGCGCGCGCGCGCGAAAGTTAAAGGCTCTGCTTCCGGCCTGAGTTCTTTGTGAATTAACTTGGGATCTTTCCCGTAGGTGAATGGGACGCAAGCGCAGTTTTCTCTCGGTTCTAACGCCCGCCCATTCTCCCCTTCACCTTAGTTTGACTACCGGGTCGAGGGGCGGACAATATACCGGCAGGGCCCTAGGCCCCTGTCATGGATGAGAATGGTTCTGATGAGAATGTTTGCCGCATCCGCCGGCTGGTGTTTTTCCGCAAAAGGAACCGCCCTAGCCTAGGAAGCATTTGTGCTGCCCCCACCGCGGCAGAGCTCACGCCGGGGAATGCGGAGGAAGAGGAGATTGTGGCTGACCGGCGGCGGAAAACCGTGGGCGTGCAACCGGTCGAGGTACAACCCCATCACTTCTCAGATTCCATGGCATTCCCCGTTTCCCGTCTTTGGGGCGGAGATAGAAACCCACGCTTTCTGTCACCTATTCCCACTGAAAGAGGGTGGGAGACCTGTTACAGAAGGCAAGGACGTTGACACTCTAAAATTTTGACATTTTCGGCTGCAAACAATTGGCCACTTATTGCCTACCTCGCCTTTGTCATCTCTGTTTATCCTTATGAGGTTGTTGTTGTTGTTGTCAGGTGCCATCGAGTCGGAACCGACTCATAGCGACCCCATGCACAGCAGAACGAAACAATGTTCGATCCTGGGCCA